CTGACAATGTTTTCCCTGCTAATGTTAGAGGATCTGCAATACACTCACAAAGCACAGTTTGCAGGCTGTCTTGAAAGAGATAGCAACTTCCCAGCTGTCTTGCCACGCGCTATGTTTAATGTGCTAATGGGGCACCCCAAGGTTGGTTGAGATAGAGAATAAAGAAACTGGCATATGCTGGAATGTACAACTCAACCGAACAGCAAAATTGCTCAAGTAAATTGCTCAAACAAATTAAGCTTCCGCATTTATCCTTATTTTCCCTAGCTATACAGTTCTTCTGGGCGGTACATCATCAACAGCCACTTCTCTCTCAATTACTCAACCTAAAGTGAAACCGTCTGGTTTAACAGTGTTTTGCTGAGATGATAACCAATTCTCTCTTTTCTTCCCTCTCTCCCAGATAGTAGGTAACTTCACAAATTAATTACGGCATCATTGGGACTTTATGTTTATTACAGTACACAGAGCGTTATAGCATGCCACTGCTGAAGACTCCTCTACCAAAATCCAAAGATTTACAAACCATACACAACACACATTTTTAAAAAATCCCAGGCACACAGAAGGCTATTTCATCCCCTAAACAAAGTTCCTTGAATATCTCGCTTTCATTAGCTACAATTACATAGCAAAAACTAGAAAACATGAAATAAGAGAAAAAATTATTTTTTTAATTTATATATAAAGGAAATAGTGATACTTCAAAAATGCCCCGTGAGAGATACCTCACACAGCAATTATCTGCAAAGATAAATGCCTCTACTTTGTAACACTGAGGTTCAAAATGTACACAACTAAGGATTTTAGGTCTAAATAATTTAATGTAGCTACTCCAGAGACTGGCTGGCAGTGTATACGTCCCATTACAAACCAAAATGTTAACCTTCTTTCACTGGAGCAACCCTATCAAAATAGTCTCTCAGAGCTCTGCAGCCAATGATGGAGCTGAAGGATGTGGCACAGAAGCACATCCTTGAAACGTCTTTTGGACCTACCTGTGAATTATTTTTTCCGTAAAAGCAATTTAAGTAAACACCATAGATGTACTTGTATAGAGATGCTTTCTTCTGCTGTGAAGCACCCCAAACTGTGCATTCTCCATCCTATCAACTATATAAAATAGCTGATAAAAAAATCAGAATGTCTGTCACGGAGCTGGACGGTTGTGCATCTACCAGTGTCTTGGGTGCCTCTTGTCAGGTCAAGCCTCCATAACATAATGACAGCTGATTTTCCAAAAATTCCTAAAAAAGGACTTGGGATACTCCACAAAAAGTGGAAATCCCAGTTAATGATGTAAACTAACTACAACGATTGGCACACAGAACAGAAAGATACTGGCATGCTTTCAGTCCTTGTTACGGCAGATTTCATTGCTTCCTTGTCAATCTTTACTCAGGACAGAGCACACGCTGCCCAGTATGCACCAGTAGAAGAATTCTTGCTTTCTGATTGTATATTCAAAGATACTTTCTGAACATACAGTTTGGGATTACTCGTATGTTCTCATGTATTTTTGAAAATACAAGTCATCAGAAAACAAGAGTAATTAACTGGTTTTGTGGTATCTAACTCTATAATTGTTATCATTCCTTAAATAAGAAAGTAGTGTATCAAAAGGAAGGGGAAAAATAGGAAGTCAAACAACTGTAAAGTCCCTTCTTTTTAGAACAGGAAAAACATTTAGATTCAGCAAGTTCTCACTAGAAATATTGCTATAAAGTATTGATTTTTTACCAGACTCAATTGACTGAAAAGTTGTTTGTATAGCAATATTGGCCAAGCCAATATACTGGAACAATTTTGCTACACACAGTAATCAAGTGTATTTCTAAAGTATAATTATACTGTCATAAAAATAAAGCTAAGATACCTCTTCTCCAAGCAATAAAACAGTTGCAGCTGTGAAGAACCCAAACAAATGAAATACATTTTCTAACTAAACATAGCGTCTTCCAGAGAGAGCAAAACCACCTCCCCTCTCCCCCTTAAGCCAAGGTTAGCATGAAAAGTGATCAATACTTAATCTCAATAAACTATTTCAATAGTGGTTAATTCACGTGGAAAGAGAAGCTGAAAATTTTTGCTCAGCGACCTGCGACACGCTATCTTGTTTGCTGAATGCTGATAATATATCATTGCCATAATGGATATGACTTAGTATAAAGAGCTAGAAAGAAAGAAAAAAAGATACCACGTAGACATGCTCGTTCTTTAGATTCAGATCAATACTACACATAGCCTCTTCTGAAACAAACCGACAGCATGGAATGCTGGATGAGGAAAAGAGCCAAATGTTTGCAATTAATTTTATTTGACAAATGTTCATTGATTTACTGGAATAAAATATATGTGGGCTGCTATCTATGACTAGTGCAATCCAGCTACCTGTAAGTATTCCATTTTGCAATTTCTTACTGGCTTGTGTAGCACAGATGCTCCTTTGGCGAGGGAGAAGAGGTTCTCCTTTACGAAGGGGTGATTGTTCCAGGGTAGGAAGCTCTATCTGTGCTTCCTCCAAAGCACATCACCACTGCACAGTAACTGCCAACCCCCTACAACCAGCAGCTTTTCAGGGATGAAAGAGTGAATTGCTACAACTCTTCAATCCAACACACCAAGAAACAGATTTGGGAAGATCTGAGAGGAATGCACCGCTTAGAAGCCAGTTTAGGGAGAAAACCATATTTCATATTTATATCCTACTATTATTTCATTGCAAAGAAAGTCAAACTTCAGGAATGTGTAAAACATCCACACACAAAAATGGTTCACGTTCCCTGGGGCAGTGCACAATGACACTTGCACTGGAGAAAATACTGGGAAGTCACTGCAACTGCTAATTTAAATTATGGACGCAATAAAAAGGAAAAAGGAAGGTAGAAATATTTCCCTAATACAGAAGAGGGCTCATGTTTTTACAGGTAAAATTTTTTACTTTCCCAAACTGCAGGTAAATGTAACACTCAACCACTTAATGAAGCAGATCACAGCATCAGCCCACACAAAGCAGCAAGTCAACATAGAAGAAGTCCCAGAAGTATTACGCATTCCCTCCTGTGCTATTACCCTCTGCGCCTTGAGTGTTCACATCTCTGTTCCTTTATCACTCCTGCAGACGCTTACGAAAGTAGTATTCATCAGAGAAAAACATTTTTGTAAAAATATTAAACAAAAACCAGGCACATAACTATACTACTCTTCAGAAATACAAAAAGAAGTCAAAAGGTGCAAGTTTGGCTTTATATTGCATTTGATTCAAACTGCCCATGTGAATTCTAAGAAATGTGGAATATACGCTATGCATGTGGCAACATTATAAAATAACGAGACATTTTTGTACTGTCTTCTGCACCTAGAAGCATTGTATCATTGTACAGACTGTGCACACACAACAAACGCAGAATAGAACTGTTCCTGGTGAGCAGGGCAGAAGCAAGTTGAGAGACATTAAGTTCAGCAGATCCTCAGGGAAAAATGATCAGCAAAGCACATGTTCACTTGCCTTGGTTTGCATTCCTTAGACTTTGGCCACTGGCCAGAACAAGACACAGTATGAAGAGATGGACTTTTGGTACAACCTGGTATGGCCATTCTTAGGCAGCTCATAATTTTGCATTGCTAGCTCCTTATTTCAGCTACTTCTCTACAGAAAATAACCCCAAATTGGGTAACAATGACACAGGCAGGTTCCCTCACTTTGTGGGATACTCCTTGTCCCTAACTTGTGCTTCAGGTGCCATCCACTCCCAGAGCTGCTGTCAGTAGACGGGGAAGGGAAGCGACCTTCTCTAAATCCGAAAACACCAAGAGGTCACTGAGGACTGAGCTGTCAAGTTCTCAAGTTGCAAGCTCTCCAACCTTTCTTATTATAAAGTAAGGAAAACAACACTGTTTCTGCAAGTTTCTTGGTCTAGGAATACCCCTCTACAAGAGAATGTCAATGAGATTTCTGAACTACATTCCATCTACAAGGCCAGCCTGATTTCTGAAGAGCCCATTCAAAGACTGCATTTGTTCCTTTAAGGTTTTGCAAGTCCACTTTCATTAAACCTGCTGCAAGGAGAGTCATTTTGCAATGTTGGCAGCCAATTAGAAGCTAAACTAAATGCACCGTAGCTTTTAAAACATTTTAAAAGAAATGTTATTATCAAAGTTAAAATGTCTAAGGTATAAACAAAATCATAATGGGATGCTGGGTTACTGTATATGGTAAATAGCTCTCTGGAGGAAACCTTTATTACTCCCTCAGGGCTTTCTTACAAAGTATGGATTTCTTAATTCCTAGTGGAATATTTTTCATACACCACTGCAGACTATTAAGTACCAGATATTACATTATGTAGTTTAAACTTTGCACTATGCATGAGAAAGACTTTCCTGTCGAGAAAACTATCTCTCTGCTATTATAATCTTTACAATATTAAAATTAATACTGGCTGCAGGGTATAAGCCTCACTACCAAAATTTGGGGGAGTTTATCATTTAATATATTCATCAGCCTGTGCATGAAGCTGCTCGTAAGGGAGGGAAGTCACTGCAACAGTGAAAGGGGTATTTACTAATTTTGAATTGCTAGAGAAAGGCAGAGCAATGGTGTCATCGCATCCCACTGGTGTCATTCCCAGCACTGGGCTAGCAAAGGGCGTGGTAAGCCAGCAAGAATAATGGCATTGCAAATACCAAAGGCAATTCATTATGCTTCAGGACATTTCAAGTTCCACTTGTGAACCATTAACTTGTTACCCAGGAGGGATTTAACGCTAAGTATTAAAAAGATAATAAAAATGCACCAGCCCTCATGGCACCCAAGAGCAGATACCTTGTAAATATGTAAAGAGATTTCTTAAAAAGTTTATATTACAAAAGAAATTCTTAATCTTTTTTGCATAGCAGCAATGGCCCACCTACATCTCAATACAAATATGAAGGATTTAAAAAAAAAAAAAGCTGTTAAATTTTATTTTCAAAATTTTTAAGTGAAATTCAACACTCACTTGTAGACTGTGCCTCCATTGCCATGACCGAGGATGTCTCGATACCGTATGTCTTGTTCATTCATCTCCACAAGAAAGAAAGAAAAACAAAAGAGATGTCATGCTGTGGATGGAAATGTCAAGGAAAAGCAACTCTAGGCCATAAACAACAAGCAGTCTGGGTCATTTCAAGTTCAGCTGCAAGAACGAGAAGATCAATACAACATTTGCTGTCCAATTTATAAAAGACGATACCAAGGGACAAAGTGATGGAAAGTTTAATGACAATTTGTTTGCCTGGGTCATTTCATTAAAGTTTGATAAAAGGTGTCAAAATGGAATGATATAATATAGCTCAAGAGGGTCAGGTCACAGATACTGATAGGAAAAGGGTCTCCAGAACAGCACATAACCAAAGCCAAAGTTGGAGGTGAATGGAAACAATCCAACAGAAAACTGTCATCGTAAGTACGGCTAGAAAATTTTATGATTTATTCTGGAATCAGCATAATTGATACTAATTGAGTGACAGTTCTGTCAGTAGGATTCCTTTGCAGTGCTTACTTTATATACCTTTTAACTAAAGCAAATATTCGGAAAAAATGGTCTTGAATTGCTTTCCAGTAAAAATAATTTTCCATGAAATACACAGCTAATTTCTTGCCTCAATCTTTCTACTTACTGGGACAGCTCTCCAGATATGATGTTATCGTCTGATATTTGAGCAGAAGCCTGGTACAAACACTATACATTGCAAATGCTGGAATTTGGGATCTTTCTGATATGGATTCTATAAAAGCTTATTATACATCCCCTTGTTGGATGAGCAGTTCAAATGTAAAACTGAAGTTCAACCTTCTTGTGTACAGATACAATTATACTGATCTTCCAGCTAAATCACTTATTTAAAAAAAAAAAAAAATCACTACAGACATTCTTGGAATGCACATGCATACTTGAAATTAAATATTTTAATGAGAGTAAATACTGGGCTGCATGCATTTGCTATTCCAAAAAGATCTCCTCCATTGCCTGATCATTGCAAGTAATGAATGTCTGGGCAAATCCCATTTTTAAAAGATATTTTCCTGGGAATGTTTATCAAAACATTAACTTTTTTCTGTTAGCTATTTATATTTGATGGGATACCAAGTTAAACATTTTACATGAGTTGGAATGACTGCTTAAAGACTCTGATATTTTTGTGTGTTAAAAGGCATCAAAAAATCCTTAATGGCATGTCTGGTCTGCTATCACTGATGTGATTAGAAATCACATAAGCACATCTGAGATAGCTTCAAATTAGCTATTTCAAGTACCACTAGCACCATGGTGAGAGCCACACAGAGCTCGCCATAAGCTAACTATCTGCATTTATCCAACTCGTGAAATGGCTTTTAAAATCCAGTGGGGACATGTGCCCTTCAGTTACTAAGCCATGTTTAAGCATCCACTTTCCTATGATGTCAGTGAAGATAAGAGGAACTTTGCCCCTGGCTTCAACTGGAACAAGTAAGTGATGGTAACAAGCTGAAATGCCCTAAAGAGTCAATACTCAGCATGTCTTATGAACAGAAAATGGAATATTTAATTGATTTAAAATAATCTATTTTAAGGATAGAAATGATGAACTCCAAAATTTGTGTTCTTTCCTTTCACTGCCTTTATAAAAAGGATGCTTGTTTCTCAGAGGAAATACTTTTCCTCTATGCATTTCTTCCAGTGAGGTCAAAAATCTCCAAGTTCTGAGAAAGTTCGGAATACCTCAAAGCAGAATTTGACTCTACATTATTACCTATTTGTAGTTAAACCTGGGCCAGATATCTTAAAAAGGTATAAAATGGCCCATTCAGGTGTCAAGGTTTATGAGGAAAATGAAAATTTATTTGGTTACAGAAAGCTCTTTTGCTTATTGCATCAATCAGAAAATGCAAATAAAGAGGGGGAAAAAAGACACCTCATAAGGAACAGTAATTCATGAATGGGTTTTAAAATATGTAGTCTCTACTGGATCCCATGCTCCAAACATAATTTCTCTCAGACTGCAGCACTCATTAATTTAAAGCATGTACTGTTAAGGAGTTCTGCTCTTCTCAGCGAGATGACTTTAATTCTCCAGTCTTTGAGGCAACAACACACACCTCTTTCCTACATTCACAGCGATGTTCATATAAAAAAAACTCTTAAGAGAAACCAAATGAACCCACTAAGCTATGAACATACTTGTACCTTTGCTTCTTAGGGGAAAGAGAGAAGAATTTTTTTGTAGTTATAAGCAACAAATTGAGCAGAACTAGAGACATAACGTGTGTTCTCTTTTCTCCTGCTTTTTGCTAACTGGTAAAAGGAGAGTATTTTCTTCACACCATTCCCTAAAAGCCAGTGATAGGAGCAGCTCCATCCTCTGATGCCAGCCCAGCACCGTTTCTTGTCTCTGTGCACAAAGGAGCAACCAGAAACCTGGGGTGAAATAGGAAGACTGGGGTGGAGCAAGGATCTGCCAGCAACCGATAGAGAGATAAAGTGTGATTTACTGGCTCAAATAAAGATGCCAAAAACATGTGGTGATTTATTTATTTTACTGGCAAAACTGGATTCTCAATCATAAAATGATAACATAATAACAATAAACTCGACAGGATGGACTGGAATATTAAACCTGCAAACCCAAGTTTGATTGGATGCCAATATTAACAGAATTAATGAAAAAGCGAAACAGACTTCAATTACGGATCAGCAAACAAAACATCCCTTGCTTATACCTGCTGATTTTGAAAGAAATCAGTGTCTATCTCTTGTAAATCATTAAAAACAAAATGCTCAATTAATCCTTATTTTATATGTAGAGGCCTGACAGAGGCAAAGTCCTATAGCCATACCTTTGCTTTACGAATCGAAGCAATAATGGTTTCAGAAAGCAGTCACACTCTATGAGCAGACAATTGAAGAGATTTAGTAAATCCCACTTTATAGAGCAGAGACTAATCGGAAAACACAAGCCAGTCAAATGTTTCTTATGAACTGTTGACACTATATCAATGCTGAATCAATTGGTGGCATTTACTCTGAGTGACAGAAAAGAAATAAATATTTATATCGCATCACCTATATCAATGAACCTAGGCAGAAAGCTATTTCTAACCTGTCAATATTTGATTATCTTGAAGAATCATGTCCCTTTCTTTTAATGATTAATATGAATTCCTTATTAAACCAAAATGGAAACTACTAGAGGAATATCATTATGAATGCCTGAAAGCATAAACTGCCAAAGAAAAAAAAAAAAAACCCAACCAAAAAACCCGACCCATATTTAAGTAATGATAAGTGCGACTTACTCCTCCAAAAGGGGGAAAAGTTAAAGTTACAACTAGAAACCTATTTCCAGTTATGGATTTGTGACCAATTTTGCAGAACACAATTCACATTACAAAAAGCATATTCTCTTGACAGAAAACAGTGTAACACCTACCAGTTCTTTTTTTTTTTTTTTTTTTTTTTTTTAATAGGTTTAAGTAACATCATAAGGAGAGTTTTGATTACTTTATATCTTTCTAAAATTCTACTACGCTGGAAAGAAATCTGCAACAATCTATTGCAGGGCATACAAAATACTAACTTCTATTACTTATAACAAATAAAATGCCAGCTATAGCTTATGGACTCAGTCACAAAAAGGTGGCTTTTACTCATGCTAAGCAATTCTACTTTACAAAAAAAAAATTAGTAACATTGGAGTAATTATTAACTTAATTTTAAAAGTTCAGAAGCATGCTGCTGGTACTTAAATAATTTTAAGTTATCCAGAAAACTACACTGTTTAGCTTTAACTTTGAAACATTAACAAATCTACCTGGCAGGAATCTGTGAATATTAAACTAAGTCTGCACATAAGGAATACTGACAAGCTTAATAATACATTTCCAAGCTGTATTCAAAGGATTCGGTGCCAAACAGGCAAGGCTGCAACACCGGGCTGCTCGAGTCACATTTTAGAGGGGCACTCTCATCTATTAGACCACAATGTTACAGGTGATACTGAAGGACAAGCATGAAGACCAGCCTTTATCTTCTTGACACGCTCAACTACAACTACTTGATTCATGAAATGCCAATGAGGCTTGGAGAGGTCATTGTGTGAAGGCACTGAATACGCATCTGAGATAATTAAGATTTCAGCCTTCGAAACATGGAGGGGAAGTGAACAGCAGTTAAGAAAATCAATAAGAGTCTTTTATTCGCAGTGACACAGATGTCTCAGTCAATAGAGCCTAATAGGCAAGCTTGATCGCAATGGACAGGTGCCTGCCTCCAAGGCTATCAAAGGGCTTTCACTATGACAAACATTAAAACATATTTATGTCACTGCTAAAGAATCTGGGATTCTTTAAGGTAGTTTAATTTAACGGTGTATATTTAATGTCATTACGCTACTGTAAGCCTGCCCATACATTCAGCTCAAAATGATTGCTCTGTTTGTCTAGGACATCTACTTGTCCATCAATTGTTACATTAAACCTTTCACTTCTGGATGCCAGAATCTGAATGCCTGGAGCAGAAAGTAACAAGACAGTTTTCTACAACTCCAGGGTTTTTTGTTTTTTTTTTTTTTTTAAGAAGCCGATTCCAAATAGTACAGAGCAGTTCCTTGAAAGAACCTACTAAGTATTTAAGTATCTACTGCCCTAAAAACTACAAAGGACATTCTAACTGAGCAGTTGACTTAGTTATTCAAAATTGATTAACTTTCTTCCCTGAAATTGTGGCAGCAGCACAACATGTGTGAGGTACTTCAATCTATTTGGAGCTAAATCTGATTAGCACATTTTGAGAAATGGGAAGCAAATTGCTATGCCAATCAAAGTAAATCAGGACACATAACTCATTCATATCATGAAGGTTTTCATGGTCCCTCCAGTTCTGTATTAAAAGAACACATTACAACTAAATGAGCAGTAAGCATCCCTCCACCTATTTGTGGTATGCCAATCACTGCAGTATTAGGTAGTAACGAGACAGGCATGTAGCCAAGACTCAATTCAGTGCACCTACCTGGCCATTTGCAAGTATTTTCTTCAGCTCTGCAGAGGACTTTTTTAAGCTGAAAAAAAATAAGAGGCAATTATTTTTAATGACAGTGCCATTTCACTCTATAAAATGAAGTGAAACCACAAGAAACAACAAGCTATCAGGTGAAGTTCATGGTTACATATTCTAATAGATTTAACTTTAGCAATGCTGACTGATGTTCAGTACAGCTACTCCTCAAACTGCAGACAGCAGAAATGGGCAAGCAATGAACATTTAAGAAAATCAATATATTTTTCACCTTTGCAAACTAGCTTTTTTAGATACCTGACAATACCACCCTTTGAGATACAACCTATTATTTGTCAGTTCAAAGAAGAAAGAAAAAAAATACCCTCATACACCAGGTGTTTCAGAAAACAACAGGAAAATAAGGTTTGCATCTAGTTTTCAGGCGCCTTATCTTATTTTAAAACTCCTTAAGGCATTATCCCTCAATAATTTCTACAAATCTGCAGCAGAAGGATGAGCCATCGACAATGCCTCACTACCTCAACTGCCCATAGAGTGCAGCATGAGGAGCAGGCGAGTAAACTCCCGACTGAGGCATCTCAGGGACATGGGGGGTGAGTCCCCATTGCCACGTGCATCCCCTCCAGTTAAACCTGCTGATGCAATCCTTGTGCTTTTTCAGGAGAAACTACTCCCATGTCAGTAGTCTTACATTACAGAAAATGACCCATACTATCTTCTTCTAGGAAGAGAACTTTAACAAACCACAACTATCAGCTTGGTGTGGTTTGTTGATAAAACTATTAATGGCTTCAAATTACTTCTACCCACTTGCAAATTACTGCTTTACCTCCTTTCCTGAATAACTCTGTTCCTTGTACGTTCAACACAACAAACTGCCTGGGTAGCAATATGTCTGCAAAACTTAATCTCAAAGAGACATTCTGCTCTTATTACTGGTTAAAAAAAAAAAAGTACAAAATAATATATTCTTGAAAGGCATGTGCACATGTCTTGATCACAGATCATTATTAACAAGAACAGTGAAAACACAGATTTCATATTTGGTGGCTTTGTTCTTTAATAGGCCTCTTGTTCCCACGACTACTTTAAAGAAAAATTAAGTTTTCCAAGGAAACATAAGTTGATCTTGTCATCTTTCATGACTAACAATTTGTGAACATGAAACAAAGAGAGACTTTCAATTACTTCAAAAACAAAACTCATAGTGCAGAAGGTTTCGGAAAAGGAATGGCAATTAACCACCAAATAAGGTGACAAGAATCTTCTAGAAGCCTCATTTTCAATGCACTTTAAGAACAAGCTCAAAGTACAGGAAGTACTGAAAGCCAAAGAACAACAGCAACAGAAAGCAGCTTTATTTAGTTCAGCAGTATGATAGATTGGGAGGAGGACTGCAGTTCATAAAGACATTCAGATTTATTTTCTTTAAAGAGTCTTGGACAGGATTTCCACCACCACAACACACAATGAATCTTCCCTAAGGGATGAGGGCAAACTTTGCCAGAGGAGACCGACACAAGGCTCTGCCTTTCTTTTTTTATCTCCTCAATTAGCAAAGCCACTAAGGAGAAAATCAAAAGTGGTTTTAGCGGTACCCGAATGGGGCTACCCACTGTAGCACAACTCCAGCACTGCTGGCAACCACGTGGGGTGGCATCCTCCTTGTCAGTGGGTAACCACGTCCCATCACTCCCACCATGCAGAGATGGGGTTTGTGGGACAGCCCCAGCACTGCGGCACTTATCGGTGTCTGCCAGACCCGGTACTGACACGTCAACGACCGAATGTGTTTAATGCAGCATGACTGGATCTTTGATCATATCCACCTCTGACAATTTTTTTCTTTTTCAAAATGCTCTTGGAGAGAAAAGGGAGCAGCATGCTGATGCACAGATAAATGTAATATTATACGCTTATTAAAATAATAGAATAATTTCAGCTGAAAGGGACCTCCAGAGATTTCTATTCCCACGTTTCAAATACGCTCTTACATGAAGAAGATGAAGCCAGACTTTTCTTATTTCCTTTTAAGAACACATGAGGTTTTTTGGTGGCTTTTTTGTTTATTTGTTTCAACATCAGTATTGAGCACAATGACTTCCTGTAACAGTTCATATAATAAAAAGGGAGTTTATGCTCCAGAATTTAAAAACAGATCTCTAGGAAAAAGGAGAACAAGTTCTCATGCATTTTAAAATCTTAATACGGGTTTTCAAATTAAGACTGGAATCTGAAAAGAAAGATGAGGGAGATGGACTCCAAAACTTTGCTGAAACTGTATGAAACAGGGCACCTAAACTGTTCAGATTTTTCAAAAATCTTACCCCACAATAATACACCTACCAAATCAGGTATCAAATTTTAAAATCAAAGAATCCTGGAATGAGATAAGCAATGAAGACCTAAACATACAGACCTTGCCATAGTGATTACTGGATCAACTAAAATTAGCTCACCCACAAACAGTATTTCAGTGCTTTATAAAGGACAAAGCCATCTGAAATACACAGGAAAGACCTATTTCTTTTAGCAGAAAACACTTCTCCTGAACAACCAGCAGCACAAGTCTAAAAAGATCCATGAATCAAGGTAATTTTGCCTGCCCTACTTCACTCCTGCGTGCCCATTTGTCATACTGAAAAAGTTATTCAACATCAAGCTTATAGTTGGTAACTAACACACACAAGGTTCCATTTTGTTTTAAGAAAAGAAAAGAAAACAAAACATACACTCCCGTTCTTGACTCTTACCTATTGCTTGGAAGGGAATCCGAGACTGCCGAACTGCTATTATTAGCAGACCCTGCTCGCGTATTTACCTGCGGGCAGGGAAAGGATCTTTATCAGTCGTTTGTGTTCAGAGGACACTATTCTAATTAACCTGTAATTTGCCATGAATTTCTCATTTCACTACGAAGGTTAATTAGCTTGTTGCTAGGCATGCCGATGGTTGAGGTCTTGCCTGTATGTAGGTTAGCAGGCGATATAATTCATGGACTACAATATACTATCTTTACATCTTAAATGCTTAGTTAAATAATACAGAGAGAGGATGTGTCCACCATTTATTCTCATTTTAAAAACAATCATTTAATATATTCATAGTCTGCATTTCAAAATGAGCACAGAAGCAATAAGCATACCTGTATGAATCAAACAACCTGAAAGAATTTCATTGCAGTGCCTTCCACACTTAGATAAATTACTGAAATCAAACGAATATGGTGGTGTTTTTAAACTCTTTGAAGTAGCAGCAGACGTTAGTTGATAAACTGAATATTAACATTTAGGAACCTTATTAACAGAGGTTAAAAACAAAAAGGCAATTCCATTTTTAATAAAACTGTATATATAGATATCGCAACCAACACCCAGCAGACGAATTCTTCTCCCACCCTCATAAAAAAAAAAAAATCTGCTTGTCAGAGCTCAAGAAAGTGCAGTTTTATTTGACATTTCAATAAGTGGAACACAGCATTACAAATCCATCTAACTTTACTGAAACAATTATTGAAATTTGTACCTTCAGGCCATGTATGTTCCGTTTCCCAGGAGGCTTGCAGGCTGAAACAGTAATTGACTAAATTGTAGAACACATCAGGGCCATTTACAAATTTGCTCAAAATGAATCTTTTAAAAAGAAATGAGGGTGACACCAAAATTAGCAGAGAGAAATGATTGAAAAGTGCCTCACAAGACCCAGAGTGGGAATTATGAACCAGGATTTTTTAACTTGCAGGAGTGAGCATTTATAAATGCTAAGAGCTTTCTGACACCATGTAATATAAATTCTAATTTCTGCTTAAAACACATCAAAATCCAGAGAACTGTTGGCTTAAATTATCAGATTCTCTTTGTAATTCAAATTAAAATCTCATGTCACTATATTTTCACATGCTGTATTTTTTTTGGCATTTAACAGAAATATTTGCCAGACGTATTTTAAAGGAATCAGCTGCCACACATCATGAATTAGTCATACTGTCAAATGCAGACAGTTTGTTTTAAATGTGGAAAAAACACGTCAGGGGCAACAGCAGCGAGTCTCAAGAAACCAAATACTGGATAAATGCAATACAAAATGCCATATTTTGGACACAGATGTACAAATGTGGCATCTTATTATGATGTCTATGTTTACAGAGGGACATGCTGCTTGAGGAGAAAGTATTTTCTTACAGTCTCTCAAACTATATATTGCCTTGTTCTTCCATTCGGTGGATGTGCTTTTGTCAAATGTTAAAGCCACAAAGGCTTCTAGCTACATGTTACAGACAGTTCCCATTTTAAAACTACAGTGCCCTACAAATTGTATGTTAAAGGGCCTGTCACTTTTGATTGATTGTCTGAGGAGGGATGAATTTGATTTTTCTCTTTCTCTGATGCACATGCATTTCACTTCAATTTTTGACAGCAGGAAACAGAACTATTTATTAGTCAGAAGGACACAGATGATAGTTATTAAACACATCAGTTAGGGCCAGGCCATGTGCCTTTAAATGACATTAGAAATTACCATATGCATCTTAAAGAAGAGAAATATTATGATACTGTGAGCATTAAAAAATCCTACTAGAAAACAATAAACTATTTAAAACTACATATAAGCATATTATATTATTACCAATAGATTAAAATCAACATTTTAAACATGATTATTAAAAGAATAATATTTTTCATGACACATATTTGAATGGTATACTCGCCTTGCATTCCACAGATGGGATATAGGTAACATAGAGAGGATATATATGTGTGTGTATGCACACACACTCATGTTTATGTCTATGCATACAGAGAGGTTTATTTTCAGTAAAAACAAGAACTCCGGTTCTTACTACACACTAACAATGCATTTAAAAAAAAAATAGTCAAAATAACATTTTTTTCTCCTTAAAGGCCTTTAAATTATCCAATGAATACAGCACAGCCAAGGATGGCACAGAGTTACTGCTGGCAGGTTTTATGGAAGACGCGAGTTTTTGGAAGCAGACTGGAGACAGCAACTGGGAACTTCCTCAGAAATAAGAAGGGCAGAAAGGGAAAAGGACTCAAAGGAAGATCAAGCTTGCAAAGAAAGCTTTTAAAAAGGGAGAACCTTAAATTACAGGCAGAAAACCTGCGGTGTGATTGACAGGGCTTTAAAGTGCAGTACGTAGAGAGAGGTGGCCAAAAAGGCATGAAAGGAAAGCACCTGCACTAGTAAAATTTGGGATGTTCATTAGAGAGGCAGGTCAGGAAGAAAATAAAAGCAGGAAAGTGCATTTTGTTTGATATTGCAGAAGAGCAGCGGCAGAACTTAGAGGCAGTCTGGGTACAAAGGGAGTGCAGGGTAGCTTTAAAACCGTAACCTAGAAAGAATAGATGTTTTAAGAAGGTGATTTGGAAAGATGAAACAGCAACTCAGCTCTGAAGTAATTTAGAGTAAGTGGCAAGGCACCTACAAGGAAATACCCAGAAACACACGTGCAGTTGAACCAACGGTGAAAACATGGAGATAATACACAGGGATTGTATCCTCAGCAGCATAGAGCCGAATTCTGCATCTGTACGGTCAAAGAAGATTATCCTTAGATATCAAGCAAATAGAAGAAAGAGGCAGCAGCAGGAGTGGGAATGTACTTGGCTGGTTCTTGAGGAACAACACCAAAAGAGAATCTAAAAGAAGGTTAAGCCTGATTTGTAATCTCAAAACATCACTTTAAACACTCAGGCATGCCAGCTCCTGAGCATTTCCTGTCACAGCTCCCTTGAACGATCTGCTAAAGGGGAAATACACCCAATTGCCTTGTACTTCCAAGAAGGGTTCCCCACCTATTAGGATCATCCACAATATCAGTTTCTCCAAGCCACATGAAGCCGAGCATTTTATTTTTTGTGGTGGTCAGTGGTTTTAGACAGTGTGCATGTCAGTAGTTAAGTAGCCTTCTACAGAAAGAGGTTCAGGAAAAAGGCTGAGACCCTCAGAGCTCAGCCTGAGAAGAGGCAGAAGATAGCTGCCCTCTTCATAGCTGTCCTTGCACTTGTCTCACAAGAACACATTTTAACTGCTGACTGCTCAGTCCGCAGCTCAAATATACACACACACATATATATGTATGGGAGTCCCCCTCTCAATCACACCCTACCAGCCCAAGCCATTAAGAAAAAAAAACCCAACCCAAAAAAATCTCCATATTCCCCTTGAATTCAAGTCTCTTTTCCACAGGAGTGTACTAAACTACCAGGAAATCCAGCCTCCTTTTGAGACTTTATTAGCATGTATTTGAGAAGGCTGTTGGTTAATTGCCCAATTCAAACTTCAGAGAGTTGTAAGTAATGGAAGTCTAGAATGTTTAATTGGGAAACTCATAGTATGATTATTTGTATAATATCAGTTAAGTGAGAAGTCTTTAATTTTTAATTATTTCAATTAATTTATTGCTGGGAGATTTACTTGGAGAATTCAAACCTTGTCTGTTTCATCAATTAAGAATCAGAGATTCAAAGACTGGATACTGAGAGCACCTGAATGAATCAGTGGAATTATGTAATCTATTAGTCTTTTTCTAACCATTATTTGAGTTCAGAGAGAGCAGTGCATTCCCAAAAACCTAACTAGCTGCCTATGGATTTTTGTTCAGGATGTAGATGACCTATTTTTTAATTGCCTTAGCCCCCATAATTGATTACATCTTTCCCTGTTCAGGAGAACTATTAAACTACTTGTGATCATTTTGATACCACTGCTAAGCACCCAAATCTCAAATAAAACGTGTCACGGATAGAGCTTCTGTGACAGACACATTCCCATTTTCAAAACGAACAATGACAGTCACATTCCTCAAGTCTGTTAGATTGATTAATGATATTAGAAGATCTTAACAAAGCCCAATTTTCCTAAGTATCCAAAACTTAAGTTATTCATCTGCTTTGGTTTGAATACATGCAGAATCATCACCAATGAGTTTTTAAAATGTACTTAAATATGTACTATGCAAACTGAATCTTGTTAGTCTAATTTACTCCAGTAAATTAGCTATTTTATATGCAATAAATGTAGTTTTCCCTACACTCCCCACAATAATGAATTCTTCCATCCAGATTAAGAGGTAAACATCATGTTATGTGCATTTAAACCTCTCAAAAACATAACTGTTGATGAAACAGTTTACTGATATCATCATTGTTGATTAGAATTTGTTAAGCATTACCTCTTGGATATATCTGTAGAGGCTCTATTAACTGTCCATTTACTTGCTGTTCCATTACAGTGGAGTAATACTGCAAAGAGATTAAAGAAAGAGATTATTCAGTAACGTATGAATAGTAGTAAGAGTACTTACAGATTGTTTAATTCAACGTTTTTTTGTTTGGGTTTTTTTTTATAGTACATATCAGCCTTTAGAATGCTTTCTTACCATTTGCAATGTTCACAAAATAAAGTGGCACGGGAGGGACATAACCAAGGCACTGCGATACCCAGCACAGTACTGAGTCCAGCACAGGGATCTGTTATTGGCTCAGCTAAGCAAGTTTCAGGCCCACCTGAAACCTGGAAATGCTTCAGAAGAGTGAGCAAATGAAACATTTACAGCAAACACAGCAGTTGCCACACCTGGAGAAGCCAGGAAAACCAGTCAAATGTGGAAACAAAGAAATGATGTAAATATAGTCAGAAACTGTGCAATTAGGAAAACTCCAAGGGAGAAAAAGAATCTGGAAACTATTCAAGAATTTGCAGTGATGAAGCACAGTCAGGGCAGTTGGGGCCACATCCCACAGAAGTTGAGATGTTGGGCATTCCCTTAGCAGACAAATTCAAATGCCCAGTAGTGTAGGCAAGACAGCAGCACTAGAAAGCCACTGCAGACAGAGTGAGACCCTGGACACCACAGGAACCGCTAAGAGTGATCTGGGGGGAAGTTTATCAATAAAAAAATGCTAAGAATGGACAAAAAGGGATGTAAAAGTATCTGAGAATATCAAGACCCAAGACAGAAAATATGTCATGTGGTATGAGAATCCTGAGAAGTGGAACGAGCATGAGGATGAACAACGGCACTAAATGCAGAAATAAACATTTGGATTAAATAAACTGAAATCTTTATTAGCCTTTTTAAATTGACCCTCACTCCTGAGGAAGGGTGAACACTCACCAGCCACGACATTTAACATTAAACCAGACAATCCCGGGGCAGGACACAGACCTTGCTATGAGTTTACTGTCTATAACCCACACGTCTCTCATCATCGTGTGTTAAATATCGAAAGCACATCACAAAGCACGTTTCTTCTGCAATCGCCAAACATCTTTGAAGCAAACACGCTGGCAGTGGGCCAGATCTTCATGGCATAAATCAGTGTAGCTCCACTGACTTTCATGCTAATTCTCACCAGCCGAGTGTGGTCTAAGACTTCAGCATGTCACTGTTACCAGCGTTTTGTGATACTATTACTCAAACTGGCAAGAATGGATGTCAATGAGGAAAAAAAATTCTAAGTCTCTATGGACTCAAACACATGTATTTCACTCACATCAATGGTTTCCCATAATGCAAGCATTCTTCCTTACACAACTTTAAAAAGACAAAAGTTTATTATCTAATGTTACAAACCATTTTTCTTTCGTCTTACAATGGGATTAAACATGTGAACTATAGTAAGCAAATGTTAGGCAGACATTAAAGTCAATTTTTAAGTTTTTCAGTGCATTTGTTTTTCATATTCATGTCAAGAAACAGGAAGAAGTTTCCTTTTTGTGAAAAAATTGTTATGAAAAAAATTGCTGAGGGTTTAAGGATCTATCCAGCCCCGTCTCCTGTGTGTTTACATCTAATACGATGCCTGCTGCTAAAAACATTTTCCTCGCTAAAATCTCACCACTAGATTTTTGAGGGGGCCATCTCATTCATATTAGTGTACAAGCATATAAATCCACATCTTAAATAACCACGATACACGCTTTTGCTGAGCTTATACAGAGCAAAGCTATTCATTACAAAAATGAATAACTCTTTTGAAATGATCAAGGTTTTTTAGGAGTTAGGACTCCCCCACAGACTAATTTTGTATCAGGAGGGTCATGAAAAGCATGCCAAATCCTCCCCCACCTCCCCACATCTCTTCATAAAAATGTGTCACCAATACCTAATAGTTATGGAGCTGTGAAAGATTCTCCCGCTCCACTGGGGGCCAAAATTGCTTAAGAAAAGCAAACTTTTTTACTACCATTTTACTAGTGGCATTCTATGACCTGAAGACATATATATACACAGTATAAACATATATGGCATACTGTCCAGAACAATAAACTAAAATAAACATACATGAGACTGTTTCCTACTAAAAAAAAGAGGGTGAGAAAGAGAAAAAACCATGGCCCTCTCCATTACTCAAACAGTGATGACAAGTAAATGAAATATCAATCATGTAAGCTGTCAACCTTTTGGGACAGCAATAACTGTTAACAAGTAGTCTGGAAAAATTGTCTGAAAATGACTTGTCCTCCACACATGAGCATTTGAGGTTTCCATGGAAAATTAAGATGCCAGTGGCTATTTGGAACATTGTTCAGGTATTCTTTTTAATGGAAAATTTGCCAGTTATTGATCCAGAGCATGTACCCCTTGCTTTCAGAAAGCTGCAAGCAACTTTCCAATCAGTGGCTGTCAAAAAAATTACTGCCTTTTTATACTGATACAAGACAACAGTCAAAGTGCAACTCCACTGCTACTCAGTGTCTGTCTTTAATTAACTGCAATGCACAACAGAAAAATAATTTTGTTTACCATTCCACAGTACTTGCATAGGCATCATACAAAGTACTTCTGCACACTCTAAAATAATTCTAGAACTGCCTGAAATAACTTACTGTCAAGTTCAGAAACCAAAGAACCCGAAGATAAGAGGTTGTGCATGATTCAAAACATGTTGCCCAATTATAGTGTCATACCTGCACAGAATAGATCTGTACTCTAAGGCAATTAATTAATTTCAGTTCTTAAACTGAAAGAAAATCCTTCACTTTCATTTTGGAGACTACTAGCAGAACTGGAGGCAAACTGAACCACGTCAAAATTCCTAGAAACATTTTCGCAGTTGTTTAATCCTCCAAATATTTGTTGCAGGCCTCAAAAGACTCAAAAATTATTTTTCTTCCTCAGTATATTCTTCAAGATAACACTAGATTCATTCATTTTCTTGTTAAGATTTGTTTTCTTACAAACATATCCTCAAATTATGCCTATGGGATGTTAGAAAGTTAAAACATCAGTGCAACACTCAAATAGAAAACTAGTTTAAAACTGAAGGGGAAATTTTCAGAAAAGAAAAGCTGCTGAAGTGGAAAGAAGTCATTTACAGACATCCCATAATTTTTAAAGGAAAGCAGAGAGCAGAGAGTTGAGCAATCATAACTCTAATGTACTGAAACTTTAACAGTCAGCTTGGAAGCATAGCTAAAGGTGACCCTACAAAAGGCATGATTAATCCTAAAACTGTGCCAGGAAAATTCAAGTTTTCCAGTTTAACAGCAAAAATGGCAGACATTTTATAAAGAAAATTCAGATACACAAGGAGTTTCAGTGGGGGAGCATCACCAGTGATCTAGTTGTACAAAACAAAACATTAAAAAACCCTCCAAAAAGCACAAAACCCCTATGATTGCAGCAAGATTTTTCTTCCTTTCTTTCACACAACTGTCTTACGCTCTTTAATATCAAACTTGTAGTACAATGGTTTCGCCTCCTCTGGAAAGAAAACTGCACTAGAGGGGTTTATTTAATAAATCCCTTGAGTTTCTGAGAGATCAATCACCAGCATCTGGAACCTGCACTTCTTTCACCCCAGGATTAAGTCACAGGCAATGACTAAAGTCTCTTTGAACCAGGGTCTGCTAACAGAGACTTGCAGTCAACGAACGCCCACCCCAGCCTTCGCAAGGCAGGAAATCGTACAAACTTGCAGCTATCAACAGGATCAGAATCAGCCTTCCCAGAGCCTTGAAAAAATGAGCCCACTTCATAGGAAACATCGATTGTTTGATGTGCTAAGCTCACACCACTAGCAGTGTTTTTCCAAACGCTAGAGAACATGTGCCCCAGAGCAACCCATGAAGCAGAGACTCGGGAAAGATGTAGGTGATCCAAGCTCATCCCCGCTCCACATCCTCCGCAACAGGGAACAGATGAGGAGGACTAAACTGAACCAAGTCATTCAGAACCACCAAAACCACTGATAAACGATACTAAATAGGGCCTGTTTCTGATATGTTCCAAGTTAAGGCATTTGGACAGACACAAGTGCACTTTGTAAGAAACTAGCATTCCATCTGGCTTAGAGAGAAAATACCCATTTGTTATCTTCTTGCTTATCAATTTAATTTGAAAGGAAATGTTAAATTTTTTCACTTACATCTGCAACATGAAAGATACACTGAAGCTATATTCAAATTATTTTGTTTCAATAAGTAACTGTGTACTTTCTGTAGACAGATTTATAGGTATCTAGATAGAGATTTTACACACGTCTACGTATATAAAGACACACACATATATCTCATATTAAAAAACAGAAAATACGTCTTTAAATCCTCTATGAATATTGAGCCTGCAGCTACAATGAAACTCTTCTGTTAGGAGGGGTGAAAGTCTCCAGATGAAAGTAGATTTTGAAAAATTTTTAGAGCCCAGGGGTTCATTTTTAATGAGCCGTTACTTTAAGTACTGCATAAAAAATACAAGAAATTGATAGTCCATTTAGCCTGCACTATATCTAATGCAAAAGTCATTAAGACGCATTATTCTTAATGTTTATGATATGATCAGTAAGTGTACAAGTTTCTTTTTTTAAAAAAGTCAAGAATGTCCATATATCTCTTATGATACAGTTTTTAAACACCTACACTCAATACAGGAATACTGTACTGTGAACTTAATACAGGAACATTGTACTGTGAGCACTGCAGCTTACATGGACATTTTGACAGAAGCAAAAGCACACCAACGAAAACAGAAAAAACATGGAAAATATCAGCATTTGTTATACTATACCTACATAGGATAGCATGGCTTTCATTTCTTCATCACTTCTAACAGTAATCCGATCACCATCCTCATCTTCATCTAACAAAAAAATGTATTACATCAGTGAACAACGGAAGAAGGATATTTACAATTTTGATACGTGTGGTTTTACCTGGTCATTTACAAGCAAGTAAAAATATGAAAAATGTATAAGCCACCTACACAGGTAACCTGGCACTCTGAAATAATAATGTAGAATGACTCCAAGCATTAACTAACTACGACTACAATTACATCTAAAAAGGGGGCACAAACAAAGTGCTCAAAACTTTGCTCTCAACAATTCTTTTACTGCCAGAACCTCTCCAGAAGCTGAGAGCCTTACACATGCTATAACACCCCCCACTGAAAACCACGAAGGTATTCTTTCAACATAGCAAACAGTAAGTAAAGTTTCTTAGTGTGCTTCGATCCTCCCAGACAGAATTAAGTTGTGGCAGTTTCTTTCATCAAAATGACTAAAAATTTAATAACAACAAAAAAAATTTGTTTTCCTCCCACTAAAACCTTCTGGTCTTACTGTCAACCCCACCTCATCTCACCTGCCCCTATGTCAAGTTCCTCACACCCCTCTGTCCCCATCCCCATTACAAAAGCACGGGCATCTCTGCTTCTTCCTCACACAGCAACGCTGACTTAAAAACATTCACTTACAAGTGGACACAAATCTGCAATGTTTATATGGAGAGATTTAGTCAAAGGCAGAAGTTTGTGAACAAGCAAAGCCAGTCTGTGTCTTTGTTCACAGTGCAACTGCGGGTGAGGAGGAGGCAGGAGGTTTGAGCAGCATTACTAGGCAATAATCACAGTTTGTGATGACGGCTCGGGCACAGCCACAAACGCACAGACAAGGCACTTTGGTACAACAAAAGAGACTGTTGTGGAAACAGAACCAGAGGAAAAGCAGGGAGATTCAGAAAGGCTCCAGAAAAGCAAGGCATTCAGAAAGAACTATTAATATGAAGATCTGAAGGAGGAATAGACTTTCCAAAGACATATGGTGGGATTCAGCAGGTGCAGATTTACCAGGGGGCTCAATCCCCGCCATCAGCACCAGCTGGTGCAACAACACGCTCCAGTGTCACCAGCCACAGTCGCCAAGACACCCCATGCGGCTCCTTCGCTGCGACAGGAGCAGCAACCACCCCATCCTCTCCTGGCCCCGTCCTCGTGAAAAGCTCATACACTCGCACCGGTGGGAGAGCTGCACCAGATGAACGGAACAGACCCCTCCCCTCCAAATCAGTTACAAAATGTTAATTTCTTTTTATTGCTCTAGCTTTGGGGGAGAAGGGAGGGGTTAATGATCTGTCTCCAATTTTTGCCTGCTGCCATTTAAATATCTTCCTTAGATACTTATTTAAAAAAAAACCCACAGCCAAAGCATGTTGGTGTGCAGCCCAGTGTTACATTTGTTTTTTTCCCTTTGGACAGGGAGTTCTTTGAAAATAAAACGGCAAAACATCCAACAGATACCAAAGAACAGCTGACAAATTCACATGCCTTTTTGGCCAGAAAACATCTATCGTGGGGAATGTCAACCACGCAGGCCCATTTGAGTTGGGATATTTAAATAGCTTAAGAGACCCACGTCTTCCTGAAAGCTGATGTGTTAGGACAGATCCACACACACAAGGATGGACAGACCAGAACAATTCTTCTCATGCTGGATGGTTACAAAAGCAAAGCACTCTGCCCAAGCTAGCATGCACTGGAGAACCGGGAGGCAACACACTGCCCATATTTCAAACACTTGTTAAATACCAAAGGGTGAGGATGTGGACATGAGCGAGTGTATTTATATGGCTTTGGGGCCAGAGCAGGTTCGCTCCTGACCAGCTCAGGATGCAAGCAGTGGCTGGGGCAGTCTGTCTGTCCCCATCTCTACAGATGTGCTCTGATAGACATGCTCCCATGTACTACTACATTCAAAAGTGCCATTATGTCCCTAGATGAAAGCTCACTTTTGCTCTTAGTTACACACAAGAATCTGGGAGGAGATCTGAGCCAATAAATTAAAACTACCCGAGAAAAGGAGTTTGTTCATCTTCACTCTGAAAATCTAGCAGGTAATTCTAAGGCTGCAAGGAAAAAAGCAAAATAATTCAGAAGAGAGAGCAAAACAACAAGAGAAAAATAATAAGGAAAAGAAGTAACAAAAACCTTAGGATTACACTTTAAAATGTACTGTAAGAGAGCTAAGGGACACTAGAAACAGAAGCTGGAAGAGGAATTAGATAGCACAACGATGTCCTACAAGAGCCTTGTCTCATGGAAATTTAACTGGTGAACTGCCAGATCGCTAGAACTACTTGCAAGGGTTACCAGCCTGCAGCGAGTCACAAATGATAAAAAGATTAAGAAGAGTTAGTGAGTTGAAACTGAATGCTGCCTCATCTGGAAACATTTTAGGCAGAAAGGAGGAGGAGTTGTAAAACTGCTACCTGGCTGAAACCCAAGCCCCAGTCGCTCTGTGTACCCGAGTAAGAAAGGCTAAAGAAGCAGATGTCGGATAGTGAACAAACGAATGCCATGCATCAACAAGAAGGGATCAGAGTAAAATGCAGAAGAGGGCAAACATGTGACAGATGAATATACAGAGATAAAAACTGTTAAACAAGCCTGGCCTGAGGGAACTGAGCTGGGACCACCAGAAAAAGAAAAAAAAGATGGAAAACTCTTAGATCCCACTTGCAAAATGTTTTTAAAATAAAAACAAAAAAAAAAATAATCACACATTACTTATTGCAAATTATTAAGAAATTAACTCTGAAATTCTCAGAAAATGCCTGATGGTGGTACAAAAAGAATAAATTAAAAATATGTTGATGAAAAGGCAGAAAATGTTACCTGGCATTAAAAAAGCCAAATCTAAAATAGCCAGGTAATGCCTGTAAAGAGCAAAACCAGAAAAAAAAAATAATTATTGTATCTGTGCAAAGATCCTTTGCCACCCTATCATGACATTTAAGTGGGCACACCCCAAAAACTATCTAGATATGATGACACAAGGGTTCCGAAAGATTTCCAGGCTTCTCTACTTGCCTAGAGCACAGCAATACGATTTTCCAGCACATTAGGGAAGCAAAAGTAGAACCAAAAAAGCCTACGTACTGGCTGGATTTTGCTAATGTCACTTAAAATGGAGGAAGAAATCCTCACAAGATACCAAATAGAGTGCAGCAGATGGTAAACAAATATTATGAAGCAATCTTCACAAAATCTGCAGTGTGTCACAAATATACAAAATGGCAGAGTTTGGATAAAAGGATCATAACAGGCCATATGTTGTTAGTGATTTTATTTGTAGCAATGTGTAATACAGTGGTGAATTCCACATAAAGGTCCAACAGGAGGAGAAGTGCAGCCCCAGGTAGGAGCCGCAATGGATGGTACAACTGTAGATAACAACAACTAAACAAACACTAGAGGAGCCTGCGCCGGATGGCAATTATCTACATCTGAAGAAGCAATGAAGCAGGTGAGAAAGAAGCTTGAACTAAAATCTAGGCATTTGATATGAAAAAAGTAACCAGAAACATCACGCATCAATATACATAACATATTTTAGATGCCAGTTAAATGGCAGGGGAAATGGTTTTGTGCAGATGTAAATGACAGACTAGAGACATGAACTGAAAGCACAGAAGCAGATGTTAGAAGACACAACGAAATAAGTATTTCCAGGAAAGTTCTACACATGGTACCATTAATATGGGCTACTGCCCTGATTGCAGCGACTGCTGCTGGTGCATGAAGTTCAAACAAAGCTAATGTGCGATGTGGGAGGTACGTAAAAAAGATATTAACAAATCATAAAAATGAAAAAAAAAAAAAGAAAAAGGCAAGGTCTGGAGTCTGGTTGTGCTCAGGTCTCTGCAGAAAGTCTTGTTTTAAGAAGCAGGACAGGAGAAATGTTGAGGGGAACAGGGAAGTAACACTTAAAACCTCCATTCTTAGGTTTCTGGTATTTTAGGAAAGGTAAAAACAAACATACAAGAAGAAAAATGGAAAGTACTAAATAGTACTTGAAGGATCATAAAGCAATGTTTCCTTTGATTATCTACACGTAGAATTACCCATAAAGCTCTAAAAAGGAGAGAAATGCTAATAAGAATGCAAAGCCCTATCTTGTCATATCTGCTCTCTCATCTTCAGCATCACTACCTTACTGATACCACACTTCTAATCCCCTCCAGCTTCTTGCTATTTCTTCTCTATCAAAGGAAAACAGACTTACATAAAACAAACAAACAAACACACACACACATTAAAAGGGAATAGCAGGGGCCCACTCCACTTGGAAGAAAACTCCAGCTCAGTATCTTATCCCCTGCAACACAGATGTCTGACTCCCCTTTGCAGTTTACTGCTCTCCAGGTAGGAAAATCCCATAGGAATCCCTCCAAAAATAAAAATAATCAGGGTTCACAGAACTGAAATAGATATTAGCAGATACAGGGCTAAAGCTCCACTAACAAACACCAAGAGCTTTCCTAAGCAGAAATTCCTAAAAGCAGAATGTAACCACCTTCACGAGGTGCAAGTGCCATTATGGACAACCCCAACCCAGAGCTTTCTCAGACCCTACACAGAAGCTCTTTTCCCAGCTTCTCAACCAGACCCACATGTCTTTTTAGAAGCAACTACTACTGCCCAAGCCTAACCAGGTTGCACATTCCTGCAGCTCTCCCACCTCCTCCAGGAGCTGAAGCTGAGTAACTACTGACACCTCCTGCTCCCACCCAGGAGACAGAGATGGTGTTTTTAGCTTGAGCCCTGCCAAAGGGAAAAAAGAAAACTAAACCCATAGCAGCCCTTCCAGCAAAAAACAAACGTTTGTTCCAGTAAAAGGAAACATTAATTTCTAACACTGCTATATTTGGTACAAAATCTGTATGTTGTATCACATTTCTGTAAAAGCTGCTCTTTTTGGTTTCTTCCAATGAAGGATTAAAATTTTAAAAACTTAAACCTACAGGTACTTTATACTTTTCATTTAATTCAAGCAATATAATTGCAGTGAGGAGTAAGAGCATGGTAAGGTCATGCTGGTAATTAAAGCTATATTGTAGAAATATGCTCATTCAAGATGTGATTAAATAATAAAATATTGCTTAGTTCAGTATCATCATTAAACTTGCATTAATGCATAAATATTTAACTGTAACATATAACGAACGTAAACATTATTTATTTAAAAAAATGACAGCCCTGTAATGTGATAAAGGAGACAGTTTATACAAGTCATACTTACACTCAAATGCTGTTGTTGTTGCATCTGGCAAAACTTGACCGATGACATCCTAAAATGTAAAGAAGAATTAGCTACATATCAAATGGGAAATGCCTGAGATGACTTAGAGTAAATCATCTTAATCACTCCCCAGCTGCAGGCTGAAGACTTAAAGACCTGCTACTCACCACTGCCCCAAAATAACGAACTTTTTAGCGCACAACACAAATCGGCACAAATCATGGTACTGTTCTCCTTCCTCTCCACATTACCTTGAAGAAAACCTACCTTTACAAATAACTCAATCATAATCGCAAACAAGTCGGTGCTGTCTGCTCTTGCAGTTTAAAGAATCGATTTTGTCCGTAGGTTATAGAAAAATGCACATCTAACTCATTGAAGTCAGTCATAAAAAGAGAGGTTTATGACTGACTTTTTACTTAAGAAAGCATGTTTTGTCTCTCGGTCTTTCTGCTTATATGACCCCAATTCCTCCTCTTCACCTCTAAAGAACTGTCCTGGTCCTCCCTCCCACCACAGAGCAACCTCACCACACAGCTCCCACCCCTGCCCTGCCTGCAAGAACAACAGGGTAACCAACAGCTCAGGATGGGTTTAGGGCTGCCATCGTGTATTCAAACAGTAGCTGTGAGACTGAACAAATTTTTGTTGCTTTGACTCCGCAGCGATCCGGGAAAGCAGTGGGACCCAGGCGCTGCGCCGAGCTCCTGGCGCTGCCTTGCAAAGCAGCGCAGTGCCTTGCGACGCGCTCCGCTCCACGCGAGCCGCAAAGTTTGGAGGGCTCTTTGTCGTTCTTCATTAGAATTTAAACTTCTTCAAAACTTGGTAGACAGACTCAAATACACTGACTGCCCTGGAAGAAATAAGGTTCAAACACCCCAAGAAGTGGAAGCACTAACCTAGAAGACAGGCTCCAGCCCTGGCGTTCCGACGATGCCGCGTGGTGCCTTCCTGAGGGGAGATGTGAGCTGCACATACACTAGCCCATCACAAAACACACCCAACATCGCCAACTGCTACACGTCTCTGATCTAAACCAGCATTTTTATGCCAATACAAGCCTTTCCTGTACAACTAACCCAAGAGGAAGAGAGGTCTTTTAAATTTTTTTAGCCTTTACATGCAGCATTTACTCAAAATTCAGTGACTAACAGCTGCTCAGACTGAAGTCATCCCGGCCTCCCAGTGTATGTGCTGTTGTCAGCCTCTGCGAGGCTGCAATATGTCATGTCAGGGCACGGCATAAATGCACAGCATGGTTTTTTCCTTCCTGCTGCCTGATTTCTCATGTCAGACAATCTCTCTACTGACACTGTCACGAAGTGATTAGAAATTAATGAACAACAGTATTTATTGTAGTACATACACTGAGCATCTCAGGGTGCTAAGCACCCCCCCATATCAAAGCTTTAGTGATCACTGCCCTGTCACTTCTGTTTTCTCTATTTTTTTGCTTAGTCTAAAACCAGGAAATTAAACATTCTGTGGAATGCTAAAGAGACACAGTACGAGAAAGCAGCAAAAGCAACCTAAAGACTTCCACAGAGCTGAAACAAATAATATTTCTAAAACCTTCTCATGTCCTCTTTTCGTTTTAGATGCTAAAAAAAAATCAATAGTATGTAATTTAAACTATTAATTGTATACAAAAGATGTGCAATACATCTTACCGAATTATATAGATTGTAAATCTGTGGAGCCCAAAAAAAGGAAAAAAAAACCTGTAACACTGTTATGTTAACAAAAATTCTTCCATTTAAATACTTCTTACAGGGTTTGACAGCTATGTCTGTCCTCTGTCAAAAGCCAGCCAAGCTGCACCCTCTGTCCCTACAAGAAATTAAAGCCTTGCCTAAACAGAAGACTGTACTGTTAACTAATTATTCCTAAATCCATTTAGTTAAACATTGAAAATTCCTCAGCAAACACACTTTAATTGTGTTAGACTTAAGCCACTTGTAAAACGCTCTTAGGTGGGCACACAGATGCTTCCATGGAATGGATTTAAAAATTGGTATCAGAAAAGGAACCCAGTTCTGGGGTCTTTAAAAACTGTATTTAAGAGGTATGTAAGCATGGCACTGAGACAGAGAGAGTTCTGATGGCCCCAAATGTCTTCTAGGAGAGCTCCAAGACTCCCAAAGCTGCAACAACACTGGAACAGTCATCTATATATTGGGACTTCTTTAACATAGGTAATAACCAAGTACATTAAATTAAGGACCGTGTACCATAACTCTGTCTTAAATAAATAGTTGAAAAGAAAATCCTACCAGCAACCACAAAAAACTTTGCTCTGGTCAACTTACAATATTTCAATTAAATCAACGCATCTGAGAAAAACAAGCCTTGCAGGGAGTGGAAGGGAGGGAAATTACACCATTACTCTGTTGTTACCATAGTATTTTCATCAGCTACATAAGACTTCCACACACAAACATTCAGCAGACCTCTCAGTGACCCAAGATTAAAGGATTACTCTAAATTTCAAGAGATTATGCATGTGTGATGATTTTCTACTATCAAAACAGGGATCGCAAACAATAAAATACTACAAATTGTAGACATTGTTCAAGTGGGCTCTTATAGATGATAGCTTCTATGTTATCTCACAAAACTGAAAAGCCACTAACAATGAGGAGAAAAAACAGGGAACAGCAGCTGAAACAAGAACTCCATCAAATCTGCTCTCTAGAAGAGCTGTGGAGCACTTGTCTCTCGGGAGAGAAAGCAGACAATGTGAAAGCACTGCTTTAAACAACACTGTAAATATTGAACCCATGGCCCTCACCCCCGTTTCAGTTAAAATTTGTTTTATCTCAGTATGACATCATGAAGTTATCCTGAATTAACACCAAGTGCTTAAATACTCTAGTGACAGCCAAAGCAAACGAACCTAGACAGCCTGACGAAAAAAATAAACCCACTGTAATTCCTTTAATGGTGCCTTTAAAATAAATCTGTTTACAGGTAACTTACAGGTCTGCAAAGCTGATATACACTGAACACATTTAAGGTGACATTATGAAGAACAGCTCTTAGCAGCTAGTTTAGGAAAGTAATCAAGAAAATGCCTAACCTAAAGCATACAAGGAACATTGCTTCCATGGGTCAAGCACTATCCTATTGCCTCGAGGCCAACCACCAGCACCAACCTGCAGGTACCAGGTTTTCCAGTTTAAACACCAGTTTAGTACCTGTAAAGGCTCCTCCAAGAGACAGAATTATAGCAGAAGAAAAATAAGAAGTGTGTCATTTAGCGTGTAAGCCACTGCAGTGAGCATCAGACTCCTGACTCCAACAAGTTATTCTATGGCTACAGACAGGATATTGGGTGACTCTACACCACAGCTTCTTTTCTGAAAAGAAAAAAAGACGGAAATAATCTTGCATGCCAGCCTGAAACCCTGCAAGGCTACGCTCATTTGTATTCACAAGGCTGCTCGCATTTCTAGGATGCTAAATTAACCAAAATCATGTTAAAAAAAATTTGCTATTCTCAAAGATTTTTTATGGGGCTTTCTTAATTCAAAGCAGACCATGGGACCTACCTTAGAAGCCATACTATGCAGCTAATTCAAGGCTCTCCCAAGCCCCCAGTTCCCACCAATGCTAGAGTTCTGGGGGTATGCACCTGCATTTTGGAACTGGCTAACAAACATGCTTCTGCAGTTCAAAGCAAGACGATACTTCTCATCAAACCCCTTAGACCACAGGTACCCAGAGCAGGCTCACACCTCCTGTGCTCTGGACAGCACCACGCAGAGCCAGATCAGTGCTAAACAGGGCAAACAACCGGGATTATTCAGAACTTGATGGTGCCCCGAACAGCAGAAGCTGAGAAAAAAGGGGTACCTTGCATCCCCATGCCTTCAGTTCAGAAAGACATGGACAGTAAGGGAAACAGTGGAGTCTGACTGGATTATTAGTATTTAGTAATTTACCTTAGCAGGAAATGTCTCAACTCTCCACATTATCTTTAATTGATACTCTAACACATAAGCCCTCCCTAATTGCCTATCAGAGGAGTGGAAATTAGAGCCAAGGCACAAGTACAACAGAAGCCTGAGTCAGCCCTGCTCCTGCCCTCCCCAGACACACGTGGTGCCAGACCTACCACGCTTTAGTGTATGGAACCTTACTTCATTTAATTTCTGTAGTTACCAGATAAATTAAGTGCATGTGCCTACTGTGATGGCACCTCCTGAAACACAATCAGCTAGACAAATGAGGGCCTTGAGACAGTTCAGACCTTATTAGACTTCTTCCTTCTTAAGACTTCACGGTGCACAAGAGAGGGTTTTTGACAGGAAAAACGAAAACCATGGAATGGTACTACTGCACGGCTGCACTCCCAGACAAACACTGTCGTAGTGCCCATCATCCCCACATCCGAGATTTCCACCAATGTGTCATCGCCTACTGACTCACCACACATAATCCAACACTTCCAGTTAGGATGGAGGTACTGCTGTCACCACTACTCTCAACGTAACAGTCTAACAGTGCATAACCTGAAATTATCATCATCAACACAGATGTGACCTGATGCAGAAATCTATCTGCTTTCACCCAACAAAGAGCTGGGACATTTCAACCCAGGAACTATTCTTTTATCAGTGGGTGGAAATAATTCAGCGTGCAGATGGCTGGATACAGACCTGCATCTGCAGAGGAGCTAGGTGAAGAGAACAGGCGATCCTGCAGCAGCTACATCTTCTCAGAATATCGTTAATGCTGTGATTTCAACCTGCACTGCGCAGAATAGCGACCAGCACGCACGGTCACCCACCTGGTGCCGTTCTCCACGGCACTCTGCTGTGCTACATCAAACAACTGCATAAGGGTATGCTCCTCGCTTTGGCAGCTGTGTCTGGCTGGGGCAGAAGTGCCTACAGCATAGGCCATGGACATCACCAAACGTTCTGTGGCTGCCTCAACATACAGAGTGTCCTATACAACCATTGCAGAAGTTTGGGAGGAACATCAGTGATTGCTGAATGTGAGCATAGCGACAAAAACTGGGATTCTGTAAGAAAACTAGCAATGTATGTATGCTCCTGCCATATTTCAACATCATCTGCTGACTGGAGAAACTGCCAGGAAACAGGAAGCTCAACCTGCTCACAACTGGAGAAGTAAATTTTTTAAAGTCCAGTAGATCTGCTAGACAGCTGCAAACAAACAACTAAGATGAGCGTCAAAATCATATGTGGAAAGGGAAGAATTAGAAACCTTTTTCCTCAGTGACTTTAATAGTGATGCAGAACAAGACGGGTGTTGCATTAGCCAAGTCTGCTTGCAGTTCTTGGCCTTTGAGCAGGGATGGTTGGTATGAGTGAACTCAAGGCTTGCTGGTCACAGGAACTGCCTACCTGGCAGTACGTAGAAAGCTCGGCATGACCCATTATATCACGGTCCCTCCGTTTTGATTTATTCTGTGACAGATTCCCCACATAACTGCCTCCCTAAACATATTAGCAGTGAAAAGCAGAGTCCTGAGACATGCCAAGCTGAAGATTTGCCTGACACATCATCCTCTGTTACCCTTTCACTTCTTTCACACTTAAGAGTGGCCACAGCTCTCAGAAAACATCAGTTCCACATGACTGGAGTTTAACCGCAGGCATTGATGACTTTGGGTGCTCCTCAAGCTCCCGCCGTTGTCCACTGACCACAAATGCTCTTAGAAGCACTTCAGATGTCAAGGGCTCTGTCAAGCTCCCTTCTCAGCATGCTGGAGTCAATTACTCAAACTCCTTGCAGCAGGGCATCTCACTAGACTCAAGTTTAGTACTTTGACCTGATACAACTAATAAATCAGTGCAGGTAGAGCCTATTGGAGCTACTTCAACAGCCGTACTATTGTACTTCTGCTTATTTGGGATCTGGCTCCAAAAGGCACACTGTCTGTATTGTATCACAACTGAATACACAGGTTCATTTTAACTTCAGCTCAAAAAGTCATACATTGGCTCCAGCTGCAACCTGACAGAGCAGTTACAGGAACTTCAACAGAAACTGCAGGTGCAGAGTCCTAGGTGTAAGATATGGTCTGACCACTGAGTTACAGCTTTGGTGCCTGAAGATCTCACTAGCTTCAGACACAGGTCCCCAGATCTCACTGCTGCCTGAAATGAAGATTTTCTGGAGCACCTGTAGGATAAGTGCCCTTGTAAGGCCACAGGCTCAGAGTAAGCTATGGGCTCCAGTTCCTAGTGCATACACCGTTTAAGCAGTTTAAGCTTCAACAGCACTTTTTTCCAACCTACTTGTTAAACAGACTAGAAAGCTCAAGTTTAAGGCCCACATACCTCCAGCTGCTTTTCTACTGAAACATTAAGGATGAAAACTAAAAAGCAAAATGGTTTTGTAAAACCATTCACTCATCCTGACAGCATTTCTCTATTTAAGTAATATAACCAAACTCAAATTTCCAATAATCCTACAATGCCAAACGAAAGTCCACACATAAGTGATTATCTCACTTTATTTTGGGAAAATACTGAAAAACATGAAGCGGAATGTGGAGTAAACCTGGCTCAGATTTGCACCACTTGTCTTTGAAGGATGGAGTGAGTTGTCCCAGGCTTGCTGTGTAACCACTGGAAACTCACAGCAATCTCCAAGGAGAAACTGCTCCTCCCAAAAATTTCGCTGACCTGTCAAAAGTTCTGGTCGCTCTTCTCCACCTACAGAAAGCCTTGGATAATGTTAAATGTTAGAAAGAATGAAGCCTGGAACATCTGCCATCCACCTCAAGTACCTCTGCAAACTTCTACAGGCCCAACATTGAACATTTTCCAGCAAATCAACCCCTTAATCCCCATGTGTCTTCTCAGCAAATCATAACATGTCAGAAGAGATTTGTGGAATCTCTCTCCGATATTAATAACAACAGAATAAATTAAATATGGACATGATCTGTGGTATGGGAAGATTTTTTTTTATTGAAATAGGGGCACATGGAGTGTCTAGCAGAGATGTGTTATGACGAAAGATGAGGGCATCCTGAAGAATATAAGCATGACCTGCACACAAGGATTAGACTTTTCTTTGGGCTAAGGATGCAATTAAGAGAAACAGTAAGTTGGATAAGTATCCACCGCTATTTCTAAGTAAACAGAGGATTCTTGTATCCTTGATGTGCAGAGGGGGAGAAAATAAGGCAGGCAGGATTTGAGGGCAGTTTGGGGCAAAGGAGACGCAACAAACCCATAGTGCAGCAATGGGCAGTACCAGCGAAGGCAAGTACAGCTACAGCCCACGGGTCCGCCGCCCTGCCCAAGCCAGGCAGGCGCTCATTTCCACAAACATCAACTTTTTAACTCACCCTAAAGCAATGCCCCATGACCCGCTGCCCCTCACGCCAAGGCGCGCAGGCCCGGGGCGTTACCTCACGGTCAGCCCTCAGAGCTTCCCACGGGCCCGCGACCACCGGGTCCTCCTGACGGCTTCACCGCAAGGAAACGCGTCTCTGCTGGAGAGCATCCACCCCGCGCCGCTGCTCCGGCACCGCCTCCCCTAAGGCGCGAGGGGCACGGCGCTGCCCCAGACCCCCGACTTGGGTCAGCCTCTGCCAGCGTTACTTTCCTAATAAAACTTTCAAGTGCAGACAGGAGGCAACAAAAAGAACCCGTCCCTATAGAAACACACAAAAATTAAAAGTAATAAATAAAAAAAAGACACCTTTCACCTTCCAAGGAGGATTTTTATTACCACTTTCCCCACCCGACCCGGGTGACCGGTCGGAGCTACCGGAGCCGCACGGAAAGCGGGGTGGGGAGGGGGGTGTCCCCGCACCGCCCTCCCTGCCGGGACTCACCAGCACGTCCCTAAAGAGCAGCTGAGACGCCGAATGAACGGTCCAGTCGACGGCCCCTCCGTCTGGGATCTTGATCCGGATCACCAGCGCCTGGCTCTCCATGGAGCTTTAGAAAAAAAAGGATCTTTCAATGGCCATTAGCAGAGTTAAATTCTCTCTCTGTTCAATAACTTTATAATTTAGTTCCTACACTAGAAATTAATAGTGCCTCAACTCCTAAGTATCTAAGGGATTGGTGCTGCCCACACAGACATCTTTCTGTTCAAATGAACCTTTTACCTATAGTCCCTGTATACCTTTCAGTCAGGTTCATTTCAATCAGATTCATTTTCTATTAAATTTTAAAGAATAGGATACAAAATCATAGAATTTCTATAGAAACGCAATTTTTCTAAAATGTCTCTCTCATTTACAAGACTATGGGGAAAACCAACTCAATTTGACAGATTTGCATAAATATTATTTAGCTTTTCCAGGGCTAATCATAACCTTAATCCCCCATTCTGATTTGTGATGATGCAGCTGTAATCAAACTTCAAGGTTTTTATATCATAAGAGGCACAGCACATAAAGCACGTGCTTCTTTATACAGGTTTGCTTTTGCTACGTACTTCTTTAAAACCCATGTTTCATAAGAAATTTTCATTCTAACTGCACCAACATTTGAAACAAATAGTTATTTTATCAATTTCTGCTATAAGAACAGAACTTCACCAAAATCTAATCTTATATTTTTCCTCAATGTTGGGGGAAAATCTGTGTAGCAAGAACACAGGTATTTTTTAAATATGTATCATAAAATATTCTTAAAGTTCAGTATTTGACTGCCCCAAGAATCTCCTCTTAAAAAGTTTGACACAGGAAGTTCAAGAATTCCAGAAAGCCACAGAAAAAAGAAAAAAAAATTAAGCAGACCGATTTTCTCCACTAAATCCAGATGACAAGCTGTCAGCAAGAAATATGCATGGATTTCCTATTTATAATTACGTATCCAAAGTTATTGTCTATCCACAATGAAATAGCGTTCAAAATCTGCAAAGGAACAATATATCAGTTCTTTAATTACAGGAGGATCATGAAGCCCATGACTTCTATAAATTCTGTTTTTATTTGCATGGGGGAAATATCCTCCATCAGTGCCACAGACTTCCAGGCTGGTTTTATGCTACAAGCACACGAACAACTGTCTATGGCAGTCTGCTGCTGCTCTCTGCTGCTTTCCATTGCGGTTAGGGAGGACAGAGGAGATCTGGAGATGGCCACAGAAAGAAAATAAATGTTTGTTTTCAAGGTAAAGCAGAATGCTGACACAGAAGGATACTAAAATGATTAGATTTGCCATGCAACAGAATCTCCCAGGAGTATCGGTGAGTGGTATGGAAAAAATGCTGTCCCCCACTGATTGCCTGGAACACGGTTATCATGATAATGTGCAAGGCCCACAAAAAGTAAGAAAATAAGTCATTACTTGTTTCTCTCTCTAATTCCCACGGCAAAAGAAGTTATGTAACACAAGTCATATTCTATCTTTTCACTACCACAGACATCATAATGAAGTTTTGGGCCCCTCTTCCAAAACTCCATAAAATGAAGAGGGAGGAAAGAGCTGACTCCCCTGGCCCTATTCTTGAATATTCCTGTTCCAGGACCTGTCACTGGGAGGTTTTCCTTGCTGGCAGTGGAGGGATGTGTGAGCTTAGTCTCAGTAGTGGATCAGGCTGATGCAGGTTAAAAAATGCAGTGCTTAGAACATGCACGGTCCCCTTCACACTGCATTTTTTTACATATATGCTATGTGCTATTTTTATAATAACACAATATGCCCATTGTAAGTATTTAGTGGAAACAAAAGCAGGTAAATTAATGCAAATTACACCAGGCCATAACAGGAGTTGAAGTGCACTGCAACAAGCATGAGGATCCAAAACTAATTTCCTCCAGTCCTGTGCTCAGACCGTTGGATAGAAGGCCACAAGGCACAGGAAAGAAGCTGAAGATAAGAGTCATAATGTCCAACATTTTCATTACAGCTCCTACTGAGCATCTCCAGGAAATTTTAACCTCATTAGTACTAGAATTTGGCCAGCTACGACATAGGAGCACCGTGCATTTATTACCATGTAACAGACTACATAGGTAACATTTATTAACTACATGTGCTAAATGTCAGTCAACATTTTAACTATTTAAGATGTTTTGGAATACTGTATTACCAGTACTGTACTATATTACATGTAACTCAGATACAGTATATAAAACAGACTCAGAGGAATCAGAATCTAAATGCCAGTCCTTGGTTCACTAAATTCAATTCATCATCTCTGCTTCCTCACTGTACCAGTTTCTAGATAGGTATTATAAACAAAAAAGACAAGCTCTTAATTTCCTAGAGAAAATGGCACCTGATCATTGCTTTAGTAGCATACATTTTCATGTCTTTTTTTTAAAAGAGAGTAATACGTAACTTTTCACATTGATAAAATAATGTATCATGGTGAAATTCACATTTTTTTTCCTTCCCACATCTTCATATTGCCAGTGAGTGCAGCAAACTGAATTCCCTTAGGCTTATGGAAGAAGTAGGTCAACAGTGTCCAGGCTTTCTAAACATACTCTTCTCTAAAATGCAGCTCCTAGGAAAGAATCACCCAAGTGTACAAGCTTGATCAACACATGTATAGATTAAGTTCCCTTAAAACTTGCATTAAAACTTGCAGAAAACTGGCTGTCTTGCTTCCTTCCATGCGTTCCCACTGCCCCTTGCAGTCCCTTTGCACAGGTCTGAACAGGCAGAAACACTTTGCACAGGCTCTCTGGAATGAGGCAAACGACTATTTATGAACCAAATATCAGGAAATAAATGATCTTACTTTCAATTTAGTGGGAGCAGAATCTGGCCTCAAATGGATCTTTAAAACTCTTTCTTACAGGAAACTCATCCTGAACTGAAAAAAAACCCCCAAACCCCACAACAGTAAACTACATTTAGGCTAAATTATTAAATGTTTAGTTCTTGCTTTAAATTATGAACATATTTTGAAATACAGCAGATTACAAGCATGTTTTATGTATATTTTAAAGACTAGATGATACACAATTACTGAAAAATTACAACTTAAACTATGCCAGTTGGATTGAGCAAAAATGGCTGTGTATCGTTAATGATGTTACTGTACCCCATCAGACCAGCTTCAGGGGCAGCATAATTGTTTTTCTGTCAACCTATAAATTCTTGAGTAACAACAAAATTATTGTGATTTTTCTTACTAAATAATTCATATATCACAAAGCATGTATATAACCAGGCCCATGAATCACTAAGCATGTAACAATCATATCTAATGGCATTTCTTCTTGTTATAAAAACAGGCTTGACTTCGCAATATTTTATAATTGTATTCAAAAATTTCAAGCATTCTTTAAAAGTGGTCTATTTTGAAATTTACATTTTAAACTGCAAAGTTTCCTTGATCAGGTTTTTTGTCTGAAGGATTGCTTTTAATCATGTTTTACAGTTTTAATTCTATTAGGATTATTAATATCACCAAAAGTAATAAATTGGTTTTATAATGAATTCGAACAGGGCTCATAAACTGTGCTTAAAGTGATGCAATTGCTATTAAAATCACTCTAAGCCGTGTATAGTCTGCCTTACCAAGCAAACAGCAACCATACTGCATCCAAACTGGCTAAATTATAACAGAGTATTCCATCATTTCAAACCTTAGGGGCTTCCTTCGTATTATTTTAAATGCTGAACAGATATATGACTTTTTAATAAGATAGCTTTGTCACTGAAAATGTTAATAATAACTTAGACACAATCATGATCTCTTAAGAGTCTGCTGCAGAAAGCTCTTGTGCTACACAGACATTACTTTCTAAAAACCTGTCACAGTGCGTTTACTAGAACATTATGATGTATTAGCATAAATAATTGTTAAAGTACACTCAACCACCTATGAGTAATAAATATTTTGTGATACATTAGCCCTCTATTTCAGCTGCATTTATTCACTTACTAATTCACAAAGGTCAGTAACTGACATCAAGTGTCCCAATAATTAATGCAAATTTCGGTGTTCTACTGCACATGCACTTTATTTAAGACTTAAATACAAACAAAGTAATAACATCTCTCTTTTCTAGAAATAAAACAAACGTCTTTTAAATAAAGTTGGAATATATTAGCGACAATTTTTATTCTACATTCCCCTTGCTGTAATGCCAAAGCTGTCACTTTTTCTTAGGTGTATTTCAACTGAACAATATAGCCCAAGAAAGCGTAATGTGACAACTGCTTCTGTAAATATGTATGTTTTGGAATGAAATCAAGACAACTCTCAGAATTATTAACTTTTTTGTGGTGAATATGATTAAGGATTTACAGCAAGAGCCAATTTAAATTAAATGGCCAAATTAAATAATATGTGAAGCAAAATCTCCTTTGTTTCAGGCAAAGTTGGTCTAAACCAGAGGCCTTAAGGGAATTCAACTATCAAGAAATACCTAAGTTTCATTCAGTAGTAATGATCAACACAGATCAGAGAGATCTGTAATTATTATTTGCAAAGAGATTTAGACACCAAGGATCTTTTTACTGCTATTAGATTCTCAAAGGGGTCTATTTAGTCAACTCACACTTTTCTTCGTTTTTCTTGCCTATAACATGATTCTAATAAATAACTGTTTCATCAGAAGTTTTAAATGTGTCAAAGACAAAAGGCACTAACACTGCAGAATGAACTCTGGATTCCCGATCTCCTTTTCCAGAAAGCATTAATAATGGAAGGAGTATCAATAAGTCTGAGAATACTTACAGCTGAAGAGTACCAGGCGGAGGCAAGCAACTTGTTGCCCACTCCATCCTATTCTAGACATCCTTCCTACCAACTCCATCCTCCATCTGACCACCCCCCCACCTCTCCTATTCCATTGAAACTGTTTTTGCTGAAGTCTCTCATTTACTTGATACATTTGGCAGAGAATGAACGTTTCCTCCACTCCATTGTCCTGTAGGAGCTCCAGAAGTTCCACATCATCGTTCCACTTCCCTTCTCCAACTTCTTTACTCTCAGCAGTTTAAAAAAAAAAAAAATAGCCTTTCTGTTGATGAGTAATTAACTTGCCTTCCTACTTCACTGCTGCTGAGTTGGAACTACTTATAAGTAAATTAGCTGATACCAGTGGACTTTCCCAGAAGAGCTCAGACAGGACTGACAGTTTCTCTCAAATGACCAACTCTGATTAAGGCTGAGGTTATTGATGTAGTTATCGTTTTACAGATTTTCAGTATTCATGCTGTTCCCTGAGCACAAGTGAGCCTAGTAAACCTAAGCAAGACCACCAGGAAGCTCACACTGGCATACAAGCAAGGTACATCACTTTGTCAGATAGTTCTGTTGTTAAATTTGATAAACTGCTGCTCTACCTTGTAGGAGTCTTGAGAAAGTGAGATCTGTTCATGCCTGCCAACTTTTGCATGAAAAGCATAAATATGCAAAACCAAAGATCAAAGAAAAAAAACAAAAAGATTCTACCTAATGCTGCTACACACTCAGAATTACAGCAGGTCAACCACACAAAGCACATTAAGGATGGATCTAACTTCTGCTTAAGTCAATAAAAGGTCACTTGGCTCCAGGTTTCTCTGAAGACTGGAGTAAAGCACTCGATATCACTCCAGGGAAAGAAAGGAGATCAAGAAGGGGACACAGCAACTTACTTTTGAGGCAATGTGAGAGTACTAATCATAAACAATTGGGAATATCAATCCTTGCCAGTATCTAAATCTAGTATTAATTTACATTGGGAAAAAAGAAATTCACATTGAAACTGGGTCCACCTGAAGGTGAACAAGTAGTACATCTTCCAGTGACAAAAGGAGCGCTATTATGTGTGAAATATATTTAAGTACGAGCTGCCATGTTTGCATTACTAGTTACAAAACTTTATTAAACATAAAAACACCCACATGTTATCACAATTTGGAGGAGCAGACAGTAACAGAAAACAGTATTTCTTGGGGTACTATCATTAGTGCTACAGAGTCTCTAGTGAAACATTTGTCAAACATACAAAAAGGTATAAAAGTGAAATATAGTAATTAAGACCTGGGTTTTATCGATTGTGTGGCTTAAGTAATTTTTCACAACAAACGTAAGATTTAATAAGTAGTTAAAGATCCTGACTTGGCTGTAGTCATTAGCATGTAATTGAACTGGTAAAAAAGATCAGTTAAACCTATGTTGATTACCACCTTATCTTTGAAAGGCAATTAAGGACCTCAATCATTGCAACAAGATTTGATTGTGCAGCCTTTATTGGACATTGATCTTTCAGCAAAGCACAGTTACATTTTCCATTAATTTACAGTAACACAGTTTAACTCAGATACCTGAGACCATTGACCTAGGTAAGATGTAATGCTAAGCGCTCGTTTAGGTTAAGATGCCCCCAGTAGTCATTACTGTTTAAAAAGACTGCTACAAGTAGCAGCTACCTGATCCTCCAGGTTTAGACTAAGGTTTCATTTATCTGAAGGAATTGTTAACTGAGGTGAAACAAAGCTCTCTACCTTTTTATGTCATCTCTCACTCATTTAAACATCATTCTTGAATACAGTAAAGAGATGATTAAGGCAAGACTTCCAAGGTAAACTACACTTTATTTCAAATGGAGATGGCACAGATCAAATCTGTAAAAAGTTAGAAAGGTCGTTTTGGAGTTCAATCATCTACAAAAAAAAAAAAAGGTATTGACGTTAGTATATGTTGCATACACAACATATGCACAATACATATAAAAAGGAAACTGCTGATTAAAACACAAGTTATTTATCCTGGACCAGAGGTATTAACAAAGCCTGGTTCCCTACAAGTCTGTCTGACAAAGCAACAGGGTTACAAGACAACCTGCAAGCATTTTACAGGCAAGAGAGAACAGTTAGGTGCTACACATGCAATAAGGCATCTTTGGCAATTAAACTGCTAGAAGCTCATCTTTGAAGCCTGCTTCAGGGACACTCTTTAGTTCAAGCATTTGGACTTCTCCGTGGCAGAAAACCCTGCTCTCCTCATAACTGGAGTGTCCCTTTAGGAGCTGACGGCCACTAGGGATGATGCTTGGGATTAGAAAGGTAAAGCAGCAAAGGCTCAGCAGAGAATAACACTCTGCATGCTCATCCGTGCCCTTCCCATGTTCCCCCAAGCCTTACAGAAATTTTGCAGACAAGATGGTATGAATCTCCTTGGCCCTCAACATTTCCACCATGTGTTCAGGCCAAAATTTAAGAGAAGTGATAAAAAAAAGACACTAAGAAGTAGGTATTCATAGCAAAACCAGCATAAAAGCCAGAAGTATTTTACCTTTGGTTGAGGACAAGCAAGTAGATTTATATTTATACTTGAAAATTATTTTTCTCATGATTTAGTAACTCAAGTGTTATTCCTTATAAATAGCGTATTTTCCCTGTTAAATACTGTAAGAGGTCACGTACAAGCCTTAACAAAATGAATGAGTGATACTATATTTGCACTCTGCCCTCAGACATCTTCTAGTTCATCCTTTAGCATGATCAACTTCATAAGAGCAAGAGGTCTATTGATTTTCATGTAATACAAGAAAATATTACATTTGCTTAATTGTTACACAGTGAGATCATTGAACAAGAAATCAAGTCTCTATTTAATGCTGCAAGCAGCACAGAATTGCAGTAATCAATAGGGTAGTTTGTCAAAGATGTTCTCTAAGGAGACTTGCCCATCACTGTATGGACAAGGAGTCATGTTGCCTGCATTTATTGAAAAACAGGTAAGCAAAGTCAGCAGTACACATTATCAGAAATCAAACAAGCTGCACCGAGTGGAGGTGCAACTCCAATGAAGAGCTGTATTTATAGTCTGGTAATTAAAAACCATTTTATCAACTTTCTGTTGAGACTAAACCTTTACAGCAAGATATTGACAAGATCCGTGGCAATGAATGAGCAGTATTTGACTTTAAACTTATGAGGTGCAGTTATTTAACTTTATCCAATACAGCAAAAAACAGTTCTAGAAAAATGCTAGCACTCACTTCTATTATTAATGAGGCTTCTTATAATACCGTCACTTCATCTTTGAGACCCATTTAACTTGCATCAAGAATATACTCTGAAATTAAATAGAACAGTGCAAGCAATTCTCTGATTAAAGTGTTATTTAGTGTTGCTTTTAGAAAAAACACATGTATTGCTTCATTAAGTGGGAAACAGTTCCATTATCTGGAACTAAGTAAAAAAGTATTTAGATGAAATTATACTGTAGTCATAGCTTGATAATCATTTATTTAGGAACAGTGATTACCCTCCAAAAACAGTACCTACCAATTTCACATTTATCTTCCTACTTATGAAAACTGGAATAATCTTACATCATCAGACATGGGATTTGGAATAGACAGCATTATTTGTTGGCACTAACACTAAGCACCAGTTAATATATCCTGTACAGGTGTTTCTGTTGTTTGAACTTACTATCCAATAATTCCATATTTCCACTATCCAAATAATTCCCTAAAAGCTTTTTCTTTGCCCAGGTTTCTAACTGAATTTGCCATTCCATCATTATATGTGCCTGTTACAGCTGTGTTCAGTTACAGCTGAAAAAAACGGTTATTCTTCATCAAAAAAAATGAGGGTGGTATTCTCCTCACTCTCCTGCATTAATTAAAAATATCAGCAATTTGTAAATTAGCTCAAGGGACAATCTTGTAGATTACTTAGGTTTTGTTACTTACCTATAAAGCAACCAAAAGAAAAAAAAAATAATGCAGACTATCTAGAGTTCAAGAATTGCAAAAGATACAAGCATAAGACGTTATTTTAGATATTTTATTTAAATATAATTTGAAGAAATGTGATACAGCCATTTTTAACTTAGGGTGGTATTTTTCCAGAGTCTTCCAGGCAGTGAAGAGACAGTGCCATGGATCCATTCCAACGTGCTTGCAACTATGACAATCAATGCATTATGAAATGTTTAGTCTAAACCTAAGCAGCTTAATCTTTCCAGAGACATTCTGAAAATGTCTAGTGTATTCACAGTTTCCTTGCCCACATGCTACAATTCAGTTCTTTAAATTATTAGATGTATCTCTTTAAATTATCATGCTTTTTCAGCAGTACTAGTCGCTGATTTCTATAAATTCTAATACCCTTAGAAATATTAATTCTTCTCCTAAGGCTTCTACTTTTTCAACTTTACTGACCTCTGCAAAAATAAATCTCTTATGACCAAAAAGTCCGTGAAGCTTCCTAAAGACAGCATGTTAAGTAAAATAATGCACTGAAAAAAAAAAAAAGTTGCCTTCAGTTCTTTTTAGTCAAAAGTTGATATTTGTAGCAGCTGTAACACAGAAACCCACCAAATGACAGGTACTCGAGGGCATGATTTCAGTACATTGCGCCTTCATCTTCTTTATTTAGAAAATAAATAGTAACTGGGCCATGACTTGTATGAACAGTCTCTGTGACACTGACAAAGAACCAGGAGCCAATTCCATATAGTAAAGTTGGGATGCCTAAGAAAAGACAAAAACACGTTACATACAAAAACAACAAGCCAGGAAAATTAAAACCACCTATTAATAGTAGAGAATAATGACTCTAAAATGAAACTAGAGGAAAAGCATTCCTGTAAAGGCTTCCTTATTAACATTTTGCCTTTATGAAATGCTTACAAGCAGCTATCAGTACATAGTACCCTTCTTGTGTACGAAGCACACAAGAATCAGAAAGCACCTTAAGAAAAGCAGCAGGAATTAACAGAAAAAGAAGATGGGAGGATACCAGTATGAAAGTGAAACATGGGCATGTATACAGCCTGATTTCTACCTATTAAAGAAAAAACATATATATCCAAACACTAAAAAAACCCCTCCCTGAAAGTTACCAGCTCAGGGTTTGTCTGTGTATCAGAGTAGAGAGAGGAAGGAAAATAGGCAGCGACTTCAGAGATCAGCATGAAACTGCTCTTGGGAAAACCTGATCAGTAGTCAAGACTACCAGCTCTAGGAAAGCTGGAATGAGTAGAAAGGTGAATATATAAAGAGCACCATCATTTTTAGCACTACCAAGTCAACCATCTATTACAGACAACAATATTTGACAATATAGGGAAAAAAAAAAAAAAGAGATGGATTAGGCTCTGAATTCAGAAAGGTACAGAAACACCGAATTTAACATGCTTAAAGTTATCCTAGTGCTTAAGCTAGATTCTCAAAACAGAGAGGAGTTGACTTTTTAGTCACACTTGCCCGTCATTAAATGGGAAACATGCAGGGTAGCTGCAAGGAACACAGGGCAGATGAAAGGTCTGACTGCGGAGGGAAAAATAAACTCAAGTTTAAAGTTACTATTAAGAAATCAATCTTTGTGATGACATTTTCTGGCTATGTCAGTTAGAAAGATCAAAAAGTGAAGACTCGTAGACAGGTTTTGTAAAGTCACTGAAGACTTGCAAACCAGCAAGATTTATTTTTTAAAATTAAATATGAAGAGAAGAAACTGGTGAAATTAGTTAATGTGACTGTCACCATTTAAATAAGTGTTGTACCCGTATACTAAGTTTTGAATAATTATGTATTTCAACATTTATCTATATTTATTTTTACATTAATCAGGTACTGATAGAGCATATTTACTTATAAGCATTTATATATTGCAGCAGCGCTTCAGGATCAAGTGTGGTCCGAGTTCTCCCCTACATTAGAAACTGCCTGTATGTAAGATGCAAAAAATTAGCTCAGGCGCTTTCTAGGAAACAAACCTTCTCGCTTCATCTAGCGCTCATGTCTTTGCTCAGAGGGCTGAAATTCATCCACGGCAACAGAACATACGTTTCTGGGTGGAAAATGATCCATACCAACCGACGTTAGGCGGTTAAACAACAAGCGTTCGCGCGTTTGCTTTAAGGCGGTTTAATTTTTCTCTCTCACAACTGGACCGAGAAGCACCAACTCAGCAAGAAGCCCCGAGAGTATCGATCTGCAGCCCCGCGTTCCCACCCAGGCTGAACTCTGGGGCATTTTCCCATCCGCCTTTTCTTACACCGCCGAGGCGCCTCAAAACGGATTCCCTCAGCTGAGGGGGCGCGGAGCGGGGCCGAGGGGCGCCGCCCGCCTCACGGCCGGCCGGGTAAGCTGAGGGGAGGCCGCGGAGCCGTCCCGGGACACGACTCACCGGCGTTGAGCACCTTGAGAGCGGTGAAGGCGGCGTTCTGTAGCGCTTCTGATCTTCATACAATATAAACACTGTTCCCTCTTTTTCCTGTCAAATAAAAAGACAAAGTTGCTTTCATTATTCCTAAAATAGTGATAATTATAATAATGGTATTCTACAGGGACAGTAAGTACATAACCATCTCTAAGAAAGGCTGGTTTTGTATTGTGTGTAATGGATTATTGCTCAGTGTAAGTAGGTTATTTCATTAACATTGTAGAGAATACATTAAAACTTTATGTAAATAGAATACATGTGGCAGAGTCTATTCAATAGCAAATATTCTTGTTCCAAAGCAGTAAGAGACAGTCATAAGTATCTTTAAAATACTGGCGACAGTTTGGTCAGCAGCAAAACTCACAGTTTGGTTTTCAGAGGCTCTAAGCAACAGCTACTGCATGTCACTGTGAGCAGGTGCCATCCCTGGGAGGGGTTTTACTGAGAAAACTCCTAAAACTGCATTTCCCAGCAAGCCCTATGACCTAGGATCTCAAATCTCTATCTGCTCTTCTGCCTCACCTAACATCTTCTAAACTCTTTTGCATTACATTCTTGTACAGCTTTGTTCATAAGCCTTAAGATCTTCCTTCCCTAGCAGAGACTGCACTTTCATTTCATCATTCCTCTTGCTGTTCTCCACTGCCACCACCCTCTTGGCCTCTGAAGTGTATCTTCTGAGTAGAGAGGTGGGGAAGGGGCCTTGCGATGGCCCAGCGCTCTCACGAAAACTCGGTGCTAGCAAGCCCAGCTCCTGGCTGACAGCCACAGTCACCGTGTGAACAAACCTGCCAGGATGG